GTGCCCATGACCATGATACCCTGGATGCCCTGTTGCGGTCCCGAGTAGTGGACACGGAACGGCTTTGTGCGAGAAAGTGGTTGCTCAAGCCATAGTGAGTTGTCGATGCCGTTAGGACGCGACATGTGGAAATACGACTGCATTTGCATTGAGCGGAGCTGTGCGCTCGACCGGCTGACGAAGTCGGTTGGCTGAGATGGGAGGATTGTCAGAGGAATCTTGGCCTGGTAGGCTGCCTGGCCCAAAGGCTGGACAACTTCAGTCGGTCCCTTTTCGCTCATATATACAACATCGGAAAGACCAAGCGATCTGACCAGCCAGGTGGCAACTTCCAGACCCAAGCCGAAGATCCAGCCGGGGTAGTTGATGATGAGGGGACATTGGGGGTAGCTCGCTTGAAGGGCCCGGTAGCGCTCCATGAGATCCATGGCGGCAAGGACGTAGTGATCGGGGTCTTCTTTGGGTGATGTAGCTCCAATATGATGGCTTCGAACTATCGTGCCGTCACGGGAACCATCTAAAGATGGGTGGGAAAAGGGAGGACCAAAGACAGGTGAACGGAGATGGGCCAGATAGACTTGACCCATCGGAGCGAATTCCGGCTGACCCGGGTCCAAGTCCAGGAAGGCAACCCCATCAGTGTTATAGTAGTTGGTCTCTGTCTGCGGCGCCGGGCTGAGAAGGTGGTTCAACAGATATCGACTGAACGTAGACTTTCCTGATCCCTTCGGTCCGCAGATGAGAGTCTTCAGCCGCCCACCACGCTGGGAGAGGGATTTGATAGCAGAGCTCCATTGTTTCTCGAGATGAAGTGGCCTCAGATGCCGTTTGAGGGAATCATCCGCAGAAGTGTATAGCTGTACGACACTTAGTCACGATGCAGACGGCCAAAGACAGTCAGGTTTAGACTTACCACTGAGAACGTCCTCTTGGTGGACTGAGGAGTGCCTTTGAGAGTGAGCTTGTCCGCTGTGGTATTCTTGCCGTTCCATATCCGCTGATACAGAGGTGAGAGTTCCTTGAGACGATAGATTCCGCTATGGCATGACTTGAACTCCACCTCTGCCTCGCCATTGACCCCGGAAACGCATTTAATTACAGGCAGCGAGTGCGTCGAAGGCGCGTAGACCCGATATACCTGGGATGAGGGGTGCAGTTTCGCTCCCATCAGACTAACCACGCCTCGCTTGACCCAAAGATCGTAGTGACCGATCATCACCAAGCTCTGTAGACAAGTCAGCACTGCGCATATACACCGGCTGGACATGCATACCATCTTCTCCTTGATGCGGACACAGAGCCTATGCTCATCACTGTAGACTATGCTGTTCTTGTTCAAGCGCGCTTTTGACAGGGGAAACTCCTGGACCTGAACCGCAGTATCTGCAGGCGATTCGTACCTAGATCCCATTAGCACTGGGCCTGAACCGAACTGCAAAGCAACAATTACCCCTCCTCGTCATTCTGAATAGGCTCGAGCCCAATGACACCGGTATTCTCTACAACGAATTCTTGCTCTTCCGACTCCTCGTCCGAAGGCGCCTGATCCTCGACATCCTTCGACGTGTCATGCTCGGGTACTTTCTTGGAGGCCTTAGGAGGCTGATCGTTGCGTGCTTTCGGCGTAGGCTTCTCAGCCTTCGATTGTTCTTCCTTTCGCCTTGATGATCGCCTCGTTTGGACTCGGTTCTCTTCGGTTGCGGCTGAGACGACAGGCTCGTCTAGTGAGCGGCGCGCTCTCTTAGGTGGCGGCTCTACCACTGGTTCAGCGACAGGGGGCTTGACAGCAGCTGCGGTGGCCTGCGCCTGCTGCTGCCGTGCTTTGCGGGCCGCGAAAGCGCTGACCGGGGCTTAAGATGGGAATGTCAGCGATAATTCCTGGTACAAGGGCGGTTGAACTTACCTGCAGCCTGCGCCTTTTCAGCTTTGCGCTTCATGATACTCGCAGACAGTTCAATTTCTCCCAAAACAGCGACGTTGCGCAGAATCGAGTGCTGGGCGGCGGGACTACCAAAAAGGTGAATATTTGAGGCCGCGGACTTTCAGGTGGTCCGTGCTCCGCGGAGCAGAAAAAAAGGTTATCGCTCAAAAGTTCCGGATCGGCTTCTCCCAACTCGCAGTGACTCGCGCTTTGCGCTATACCCCAGGATTTTCTTCTACGACGTACTTTATACTCCGCTGGGTCTTCTTTGTGTTGATATAACATACTCTAGCGGTACAAATTAGGCACACGTGCGATCACCGGCGCTCCGCATCGCAAGTTCGGAGCTGCTTTCCCCTCGAATTTCCGCATACGAAACGGACCGTCGATAAGTCACAATGGCACCCAAATCGAACAAGAAAGCTGTGGAGGAACGGGAGCCTACTCCTATGAGCACATCGTCTGCTGGCGAATCTTCCAGCTCCGAGGTTGAGTCGACCCAGAGCGGAAGCGATAGTGACAGCGATTCCAGCACTTCTTCCAACGAGAAGACTTCTACCCAGAAGTAGGTCTTCTCAATTGACTCAAATGAAGGTTATGTCAGTGATTAACGATGTGCTCGTATAGGACCTCCCGTAATGTATCTCTAGCCGCACCCCAACCTTACAAAGCCCCCTCCGGATTCAAGTCCTTGAAACAACAAGCACCACCGAGATCCAATGTCTCCTCTCTCCTGTCCGATCTTCGCGGCAAGCAAGTCTACCACATCACGGCGCCAGACTACCTTCCTCTCTCCAAGGTCGAGGAAGTCTCGTTGGCCAAGATCATGCAGGGCAAGCCCGTCCTGAAACACAAGGGTGTGCAATACGGAATTCCGGTGGAAAGCTTTGCGCAACCCGACCTGGGTGGAAAGACGCTCCACCTGTACGACTCGAAGACCAAGACCTACTACAGCACCGCCGCCAGCAATATCCCCAGCTACCACATCCAAGAGATGCTCGATATTCCCGAGGTCAGCGATGAGACCGTTGCGCAAGCTGTACAGGAGCAGATCAAGCCCCCGAGGAAACATCCCAAACACTTGAAGATGCGCTTTCACCCCGTAGGAAGTGGCGTGGAGCCCCCCGAGACCCTCGGATCCAGTTCGGAGGAGTCGGAAGATGAGAAGCCTACATTCAAGGTCCCCAAATCGCTGGAGAAGGAGCGGGATGAGAGAAAGCGCAAGAACCACCCTACTGAGGCGGATGGGAGCCAGGCCGAGGCCGGTGATGTGCCTCGTAAGAAGTCCAGAAAGTCCGCTCAGGAGGGAGGTGAAGGCGAGGACAAGAAGAAGAAGTCCAGCAAGAGCCGGGAGGAGAAGAAGCGCAAGAAGTCCGAGAAGTCTACTTGAAGTGCTTGATGATATTTCTTCTTTTTCTTCTTCCTTATCGTCTTTTCTTTTCATCAAAAGTTGGCAATACTAGATGGGATGTGTTTTTGCTTTTACTCTTCCGGCGTGTGGGGAGTGATTTCTGACGAGCCCGCTGAATTCTACGTTGCATGCCAGCCATGGGTGTGTCCGTTTGTGCATAAGTCCAGAGTTAAATCTCATGCATAGAACTCGAGTAGTGAGTGGACCATTGCTTCGAGCAACTGTGTACTCTGTACCGCGCCCAACTTGCAGGTGCAACAGGCTAGAAGGATTAGCGGGCGGACGTTAGCCCGGATGAAGCCGTCTCACTAGCACGGGCTGCCTATCCAGCCATCCCGAGAGCTGCGAACGAGGTCAGGCGCTTTTCGCGCTCGAGCAGTAGGACAGCGCCGTGGTCCTAAATAGAATTGTACTTGGCGACAATGAAACCGGGTAGGTCCACGAGTTCCTGAACATCAGACAGTGACTATGCTGGCATAACATCTCAGTGGGTTCAACTAGTTTGGATTGATAGAAGGAAAATAGTAGACAACCAGCGGATGAAGTGGAAGAAGGCCCACCAAAGCCTTTAGTGTCGATCAACCCCGGGCTCTGTTTCGACCAAGGCTGCTCGGCATGGCCACTAGGCCCCCGTTCTGGAGCCTCGTGGATCGGGAGGGTGTCTGTCAGGCTAATACGTACTAGTAGTAGTATCCGGGTAGATCGCCCTCTACACCGTATTGTGCTGGGACACATCAGTGCCTCCTGATCGAATAGAAGAAGCATAGAATATCCTGGTTCTCTCGGATTCCCAGGGTTCCCCTTGCGCCTGCACCGCCGCGACGGTGAGTCGGTATTGTTACCGACTATTACCATCTCCCCAATAATTAGCTAATGACACCATCCCATCAGCGTCGATCTTTGACTGGCTGCGGGCGCTACCGCAATCACATGTGATGCTTGTGATTGGACAAGTAGATACTCAGGCGGACAGCTGATACGGGCAAGTGACGCCAGACCCCCCCAAATCAGTCGTTGGCTCATCTTTCTACTTTACTTACTATTCCATTCATCCCATTCCATGTTGCTCTGCTTCTGCATCGCACAGGCTGCTGGCTCGACCGCTTAAGCCTGCCTCGCTCCTTATTTAATTTTTTCTGCTCTCTCGTGCCATGTCTTAGTCTTTCTCTCTCTTCCGGCCATGTTTCGCACGCCCCAGTCTCTCTTGCTTTGACGGTTCTCATTGTCCGGAACCGTACCGTTACTCCAACGGTGCTTATCACCTTCCCAGCTGTGTGTGGACGCTGTGGGTGTCACATTTCCTTCCTCGTTGCTTTTTCTCCTTCCCCGAGAAAAAGCTCTTCCTATGCCCGATCGAGCTGGATCCAAGCTAATATGTTTGATCATGGGCCCTTAGTCGAGTACCTATTCGTCCACGGTCCTAACGTGACTTGAACCTACTGACTTACCTTGAACCGTCAAGCCCGGATCACATTTCAGCGCTGTCATCTGCCCGGGTCTCCCTGGGTTCTGTCGTAACAACTACTTCCTGTGAACCCTGTTCATTCCCGCTCGCTTTGTCCTACACTTTCTTCCTATGTACCGAAAATGCGACCCTTTATAGATGACGCAAAGCGGCGGGTGGACCGTAGGCTCAGCGCAAGCAGGCAGTCCATATCGAATAGCCGCATGTTCGCCAGTGTTCTTCCCGAACGTTTAAGAGAAGATGATGACTCGCAGGTGGATTTCAGTGCTCCCCCGGGCGGTATGGGGCCTCGAGAAGGTCATATGCAGTACATGCACCAGTCTATATTCGGCATGATTGCTGCGGTGGGCTCGAGATCTGGCTTTCATGCGCGGTTCGACGAATCGAGTGATAGTGAAGGAGAGGACGAGAACCGTGTCCGCAAAGACGCCGAGAACTTGTCTGCTACCGCTGGTGCACTGCCAATTAGGAGCGGGAATGAATCGCCGCGATTATCTCCCAAGCCGCAGAGCCCGACTCCGGAGCGCGGTCGTCGCCATCGACGAACAATATCCGATAACAAGCTATTGCGCCCGTTCAAGATCAACTCAAGGCAGAACAAAGGTCAGGAACCGGCTGTACAGTCCGAGCCCCCGACGGGTGATGAAATGTCTCGAGCCTCCACTCCCAAACGGCCTCGCAGTGCTACTCCTAGGGCAGCCCCTGTCCTTAGTCGCATGGTAGAAGCACGGGCTCTGTTGGACACAGAGGATTCGACTAAAGGCGCCCAGTCTGCTACGGAAGAGAATCGTGACGAGAGTGGGAAGCAGTCATCCGCATCAGCACTTTCATTACGGCTCAAGGAGATGTTCGGTTTTGAGGCGCCGGAAAAGGTGCTTGTTGAGTACGCGTGCTCCTTTTTGCAAAGCATGCTCTTGCAAGGGTACATGTATGTCACAGAAGGACACATCTGCTTCTACGCCTACCTCCCTCGAAAGTCCACCGTCGCCATCAAGTCCGGATACGTCTACAAACGTGGCCGGAAGAATCCCAAATACAATCGGTATTGGTTTTCGCTGAAAGGGGATGTTCTCTCATACTATGCAGACCCGTCGAAACTTTACTTTCCTAGCGGCCATGTTGATCTCCGTTACGGAATTTCGGCTTCTTTGGCTGAGCCAAAAGACAAAGGGCGCGAAGTTAAAGACTTCCAGGTCACCACCGACCAGCGAACATACTACTTCAGAGCCGATAGCTCCTCGAGCGCCAAAGAGTGGGTCAAGGCTCTGCAGAAGGTCATATTTCGCACCCACAACGACAAGGGCAGCGTCAAGATCTCCTTCCCCATTGAGAGTGTCATCGATATCGAAGAGAGCCCCATGGTAGACTTTGCGGAAACTTTCAAGATCCGCGTGGTTGAGAGTGAGGAGACCTACGCCATTGATGAGGTACGTGCCCAACTTTTGGCATTCCATGCTCACTGCTGACTATACTGCAGTACTATTTCACGTTTTTCAATGACGGCCAGGATGCATTCAACTTCCTAAGAGGTCTCGTTGCTGACACGCCTATGAAGCGGTCGCAACTGACCCTATCACCACAGCCTGAGCAGACGTCTCGCTCTCGCCGTACTCGGGCCTCCCAGAATAGGTGGTCGATCACCAGCGGGACAAGTCAATCTCGGGGCATTGGAAAATCTGGCAATCGACGACGAAGCGCAAGCACGGGGCAGTTCAGTTTCGGGCAGGATGCCTTGAGCATGTCTCCACCTATGAGACAGCAGGACTCATCTCTGTCCTTCGGAAACTCCTTTGAGCAGGCAACTGAGGCATCTGGTATTCTGCAGTCCATGACAGATACCACCGAATCTGCCAGCCAAATATTGAACCGAAGCGATGTTTTTCAGTCGCCTACGATTCGTACAATGAGACGAGGCCCTTCGGCCGCCGAGAAGACTGCTCGTCGGCACTCGGATGAGACAGCGCGGTCGGTGCATACGACCAGGAATGGTCCTGAGATACAGTACGCCGTGAGCGAGTCTGACCGTGATACTCAGACTCCTACTGGACTTCACCCTTCCACTTCGGCGCTGAATGAGCTTGCTCGGGCCGGGGTGTATCCTTTGCAGCGCGCAGCAGGATTCGCCGAGTACTTGAAGACACGATCGAAGCAGATGAGTAACTTGCTGGCGAGTGAATCTATGGGCTATCTCGAGAAGGTTTCTGGGATGTGGGCCGGTGGCGGCAAGCATTACGGAGAATCCGAGAATATACTCGCGGATGACCAGGCTGTCGATCCCGAAGACCTCGAGGCTGGTTGCAAAGACGGTGACCGATTCCGTGAACACTTTGCCCTTCCGCCGAGTGAGAAGTTGCAGGCATCGTACTTTGCGTGGCTACATCGGATGATCCCACTATACGGCAAGATTTATATTAGTCAGAAAAAGCTGTGCTTTCGCAGTCTTATGCCCGGGACTCGTACGAAGATGATCCTTCCGCTTAAGGATGTGGAAAATGTGGACAAGGAAAAGGGGTTCAACTTTGGCCGCCATGGGCTTGTTGTCGTTATTCGAGGCCACGAAGAGCTATTTTTCGAGTTTGGCACAGCTGAGATCCGAGATGATTGCGCTGTCACGCTGCACAAAGGTCTTGAGTCTACGAAGTTTTTGATGGCGTCCGGACTACTTGCAGAGTGCGAGGAGAAGGATGAGTCTGAATCGGCCAGAGCAGAGCACCGTTTACTACAGGAGGCCAGGTTGGACATCACTGGTATGCACAGTTCCCGCTCGGCGATGACTGAGTCCAACGAATTGCATCCCATCTTTGATGACCCTCGCGCTTCCATCATCAACTTCAAGCCTACCGAATCTTTGAGGATTACGTGTCTTACAATAGGCTCCCGTGGTGACGTTCAACCGTACATTGCCTTGTGTAAGGGTCTTCTTGCCGAAGGGCATAGGCCCAAGATTGCAACTCACGCGGAGTTTGAACCTTGGGTGAGAAAGCATGGCATTGACTTTGCGCTAGTCGATGGAGACCCGGCGGAACTTATGCGGATTTGTGTAGAGAACGGAATGTTCACCTACTCATTCTTCAAAGAGGCAACAGCGAAGTTCCGGGGCTGGATTGACGATTTGCTGTCCTCTGCGTGGAAAGCTTGCCAGGACACCGACCTCCTCATTGAATCTCCAAGCGCGATGGCTGGGATTCACATCGCCGAGGCACTTCGAATTCCGTACTTCCGCGCCTTTACAATGCCTTGGTCAAGAACCCGGGCATATCCCCATGCATTTGCGGTCCCTGAGCACAAGATGGGCGGCGCTTACAACTACATCACCTACGTCATGTTTGACAACGTCTTCTGGAAGTCGGTTGCAGGTCAGGTGAACCGCTGGCGGAAGAAAGAGCTGGGCTTGAAGGCCACCGGTCTGGATAAGATGCAGCCGAATAAGGTCCCATTCCTTTACAACTACTCGCCCACTGTGGTGCCGCCACCGTTGGATTATCCAGACTGGATTCGCATAACCGGGTACTGGTTTCTTAGTGAGGGTTCTGACTGGACCCCTCCAGCGGAACTGGTTGACTTTATCCAACGTGCTCGCAAGGATGACAAGAAGGTTGTTTATATTGGGTTCGGGTCAATTGTTGTGTCCGATCCTTCCGCTCTCACACGCACCGTCATCGAATCTGTCCAGAAGGCCGATGTCCGCTGCATCCTGTCCAAGGGCTGGTCTGATCGTCTAGGAGACCCGGCTAGTGCCAAGTCAGAGGTCCCTCTGCCGCCGGAAATCATCCAGATTCAATCGGCACCCCATGACTGGCTCTTCTCGCAGATCGATGCCGCCGCGCACCATGGCGGCGCTGGAACTACTGGGGCAAGTCTGCGTGCCGGTGTTCCTACCATTGTCAAGCCATTCTTCGGCGACCAGTTCTTCTTCGGAACGCGAGTTGAAGACTTGGGCGTCGGTATTTGTTTGAAGAAGCTGAACGTGACGATGTTCTCTCGGGCTTTGTGGGAGGCTACCCATGACGAGCGTATGATCGTCAAAGCCCACAAATTAGGAGCGCAAATCCGAAGCGTAAGTCGTATGTAATCTAGTCATGTTGCCCTGCTAATGATTGAACAGGAGGATGGGGTGGATACGGCTATCCAAGCGATCTACCGTGATCTAGAGTACGCCAAAACCCTGGCTCAAGCGCGCTCCAATTTGTCCTCGACGCCGTTCTCGCCCACACCTTCGGCGAAGACGGTGGCAGAACAGGAAGCGGACGAGGACGTACCCGAGGAGGAGTGGACGATTGTCGAGGACGATACCGAGTTGGACATGAGGCCGACTGCGGTCTGATGTGGATAATTGATTGCGGATTGACGGACTCGAAGCGAAGCATGAACTGCCAACCGACGAGATTTTCCGTCGTATGACTTACGAATTGTGGCATTTGCTCTGTTCGATGATATATGGTTTTAATTTTGCTTTCGATTCGGCTTCCCCACTCTGGGATTACATGGGTCTGGTTTGAGAAACATATGCTGCGATTGATGATTTACGAGATGCACAGCTGCTGGCATGACCTAATACATATTTTCTACTTGCTGTTAAGCTAGTGTTTGGATGAGCGTGCGAGGGTCTCCATGTTTATTTTCGGCAATTATAGATCATATAATGGCACGGCGCATTGCAGATATCTATGATGGATCTACCGTTGTTGACAGTAACTATCATCATGTAGAATTTTCTTTTTTAATGCCTGCTTTTGACACTAAATACATACAAAAGGGTAGTCGGAGACAAAGCTAGAAACAACACAAAAACAGTACATTAAAAGTATCATATCATATCTCTCTAATAAAATGATAATCAAGCAGCCTTCTCCGCTTCCTCATCACCCTTACCTTCAGCCTTTTCTTTCCGTCTCTGCACCACATCCCAGTTATAGACTCTCGCCGTCGCAACCTCCAACGTCTACACAAACACAAACCATTAGCCACAAACCAAACCCAAACCTAAAAATGTAATAGAACAAACATACCGTAATCTGCTCCCTCAAAAACTCCAAATCCTCCTCACAATTCGCCAGACTCTTCTGCGCCGCCGCCAACTTCTCATCCAACATGCTCTCAGCCTCCTCAATCGGGTACGCAAGCATAACATTCGCTCCGAGCCAAAGGTACACTTCCTCCGTATCGGCGGGGGAGACCGTCGCGCGAGCGTACAATGTATCGTTCAATTCGAAGTTGGTTTCGAGTGCTGAGGCACTTGCATTTTCTCTTCTGAGTTTCAGGAATCGCACCATCTCCAATGTCTTCTTGATGTCGGGGATCTTGTCGCGTAGACCCTGGGCCCGGCGCTGCGTGTTGACTTCCATGAATTGGTACTTCGAGATCATCTCTTGGAAGGATCGTAGCGTCGGTTCCACTTCGCTTCGCGAGGATACGTAGTCTGCTACATTGTCGACGAAGGGCGCGGCGGGGATTCCGCGCGGGTTGGTGGGGGGCGTTACTCTGGTTTGGTGGTCCCCAGGGAGAGGGGGGAGGGTTAGTGGTGGTTCTCTTGGGGGAGTGGGTGGTTGTGGTTTGGGGATATTTGGGCTGGGATGGTGGAGAGGGGAGGGGTTTGTTGTGTGGTATAAGAAGGGTGATTTTTGCTGTACAGGATGTGGACTACTCACGAGGAAGTCTTCTTGTCTGCCATGGTGACAGACAGGTTGGAGTATATTAGATAGAAAGAGGGGGAGGGCGGAAGGTAAAGAGATGCACTGCAAGCCGCGGAGTGAGGAATAATGATAATGATGGAGTGGGGGAGTTGATTGCCTGTTTGGGAATGGTGTCATCTGCGGCGATCTTCATCATCAACATACTATCTATCTACAATCTACAATCTACAACTATTCTTCCTTTCTCTTACCTACACAAATAAACTAACAGAATGTTATAAAGATACATACATCTACACAATGGTTCTTTTAACAACAACACCCTCCATCCTCTCCGCCATCAAGGCCCTCCCTCCTACCTCGCGACATGACTTCTCCCTCCCCGATACCTTGAACCTCGAGGACCCCATCTCCCACGACCAATTGATCAAGATAGCTCGATACTTCCGACAACAAGATACCACCACCACCGCTACTACCTCTACAAACATCGATAGTAGCAAAACCCTGAACTCCCTCCTCCGCGGAACGAAAGTCTACGTTCCTTCTCCGCCAAAGAAACCCGAGCCGGTACACACCTATCCCCAACACAATCCCCCAACAGTATACACAAAACAAGACTAACTAACCTGACATAAAAAGTCACCCGAATACCTCGCCCTCAAAGCGCGCCTTCTCGCCGCCGCCGAAACAGACGCCTACAACCGCATGACCTCCTCCTCATCCTTCACCTCATCCGGTTTCTTCCCTCCATCCTCCAGAACCCCAGCATCAACAAAACCCTCAATCTTCACCTCCTCCACACCGACCCTCGAAGCACTGCACAACAAGCACAACCCCAACAATAATGATGATAACGACACAGACCCCCTCACTCCCGGCCTCGTGCTCAACGTCTTCCTCTCCGTCCTGATCACCGGGTTCAGCGTGTACTGGGCGCTGCGGAGTTTCCGGTCCCCGGAGATGCTGGTATCTACTGTGGCGAGGGTGTGGAGGGGCAAGGGCACAGGACAGGGGGTGTCGGAGTCGGTGAAGGTGTTGGTGTCGTTGGGGGCGGCGGTGGTGGTGGGCGTGGCGGAGGTGATGATCTATGCGATTTATTTGAGGAAGGTGGAGGTTGCGAGGGGGAGGGAGAGGAGGGTGAAGGAGAGGAAGGTGGTTGTGGGGAGTGAGAGGGTTGGTGGGGGGGAGAGTAGGGAGAGTGGTGAGGGTGGAAGTAATGGGGAGAGGGTTGGGGAGGGGGATAAAGAGGAGGTTATTTGGGGCAGGGGGGTGAATGGGGGGTTGAGGAGAAGGGTGAGGGAGAAGTGGGAGGAGAAGGAGAAGGATAGTATGAATATGGACAAGCAGAGGGATAAGAGTGAGTGAGGAGCGTATACTGTTAGGGTTGATGTGGTGTATCATATTCTATGTAGTATATATTACTGTATAATGGACTAATGATGGACATATGCACTACGGTTAGTAAGATTGTATCAATAGGAATTCGTGCTAACTACTGCTCACTGCAAGCAATATCATCCTCTTGCTCAAGCTCAGCAACTCTCTCCATAGCATCACCCCCCATATTCCCCGAAAACTCTCTGAACATCAAATTAGCCTCACAGTATTCCGGGTCCTCGAAAGTCGTATTAAGCCACTTCAGCATATCCTCCCACGCCTTGGGCATGACGCACTCGGTAATCAGCGGCTCGCCAGACGAATAGCAGTTGCACCCATGATGCTCAGGAGCAGGAACAGGCAGCCCGAGATCCTGCTCAGAGAGAATATACCCACGGCAACGCGAGGAGACGAAGCTCACAAACGATGAGGGGTCCTTAGAATCTTTACCATCTTTGTCTCCGAAGTCAACGCCAATCCGGTGAAATGGACTGGTGAGACAGATTGCTGATATATATGGACGCCATGCTTCCCCTATCATTTGTTAGCCAGATACAGACAAACCAATTACCAATAACCCTTGAAGCACGAAAAGTAGACATACAGTTACTCCCCAAGTACCGAATAACACCCAACCCCCCATCATCCAAGCCAACCACCCCAATCTTCGCATCAGCCCTAACCAGCCGACCCCGAGCAGCCAAGATCTCCTCAAACACATACTGAATGTGTTCCTGCCAGTCGCCATTCCCAGGGATCTTGTTCCGACGAGTCATAACCAGCGGCGGATCCACCGCCGACTTTCGAGGAACGCAATGCCAGGACGTCAGTGTCATCGCTCGACCGGAGCCACAGTGCCACACCAACTGCCCCGTGTTTGCCAGGACAAGAGCCGTGTCTTTCTGATCCAGAACAGCCCGCGCGAATTGAACAGCCGACCCGACCTCAATCCCATCGCTGCTGAGAGTCCGGTAAGCCCAGATGCCAAGATCCTGTATAGGCTCTCCGAAGACAACGATGACGCGGGAGGCAGTGGACAGATTCTTGGAGATGAGGATGGGCACATGCGCATCGGTAGGTCGGGCTGTAAGTGGAAGCCGTAGAGTGACGAGACCGAGGCTGCGAAGACGAGAGAGGACGATGTTGCGAATGCATGCTATATAGTGGTTAGTATACGAAGAACAATGTTTTCCCTTTTCTGAAGGCATTAGCATACTGTTCATGGCCTCTCGCTGCATCTCATTCCAGCGGGCGTTCTTGTTGATCTTGAATTGGAACTCTTCTTTTGGCGCGGAGATCTTCCGGATTTGGTCATCTTTAGTGATGAAGTACCTGGCTTTGGTTAGTAGATGGACTGGTTTCTGTCTATCTCAGTCCCTTCTTACCCCAGTTTCTCCAGGTCCGCGGGAAAGACAGGTTCCGCAGGGAGGTCCTTTCGGCTGAAGACGAACATCGCGGTGAGTGTAGTTCGACGATGGCGAGAGAACGAGCGTGTGAGTAACAGTGAGTGGATTCAGAAGAGAGAGATATGAGATATGGAGACAGACAGCAGATCTAGAATAAAAGCAACGGCAAGAGCAAACAGAAGAATCAAAAAGAAACTGCAACTTCCCCCAACCAATGCCAGTGAATTTCAAGTGAAGCCAAGTGCAGGCGTTTGTCAATGCATAGCTTAGTAGTACTTCATGTAACATCCGCCCTTCACTGCGCAGACCAATCGACAAGATCCGATGGTGTCACATCCAGCCATGGATGATGCCGAACATAATCACCGAAAATAGCCACACCACTGCAATCCCCCTCTCTGGGAGTACTGTAGATCAGAGACCAGCTCAGATGAGCACAGTACCCAAGACGATGAAAAGGCATATCTTATTCCTCATCATCATCATCTAACAAAAACCTAATATACAAGTCCTCTGACCAACACAAGGAAACGGAGGAAAGTTGAAAACAAACGCCTTTCAGGAAGAACCCGCCGAACCCAATGAAAGCTATCACAAAATATATGTATTCTTTTCGCATAAATTTCCCATACTATTAATTTTACCAACTGGCCTTCTTCACACCGGGGAGTTCACCGGCCAGCGCCTGCTGACGGAATTGGTACTGTACACACCAAACATTAGTATATATCCAGTCAATCAGGTCTCTACTAGGAATAGACTTACTCTACCAAGTCTAAACGCCCGGATAACACTGCGAGGAACACCACCCGCCACACAGCGGTTCTTGATCTGCGTCGAGCGAGTGTAGGCGTGCATGGAAGCGAGCTGGAGCTGAGCCTGGGCGCGCACACGTTGGGGGAGGGAAGTGTTGTGGATCACGTAGCGGAGAGCTTGACTATTATCCAGAAGATAGCAATTAGTAGCTGCTCAGCTGTTTCATGGACCTGGGTTGGAATTACCGTTCCGGCTCGAATTGCTCGAAAACCTTCCGCTTGGTGTGGTCGCGGACAACACGGGGGTTGATGAACCCGCCGAGGTCGAGGATCTTGGACCGGAAGTGCGACATGTTGACCTGGTCAAAGGGGGTTTCCTGGCGCTGATTTGGCTTGAATGCGATTTGGGGATGGATTTGATGGCCGGAGGTTTTGGCCGGAGCGGCGAAAGTCACGGGAGTTCGGGATGCGGATTGCCTGTTTGGGTTAGGGGCATCTGTCTCTTTTCACCCGGAATGGGAGGAGAATTTTGTTGGATATACGCAGTATGAGGGTACTTTTGTAATGCAAGAATTGAGTAAGTTAGATTATGATGTGCTATATATGATGAATCAGTTAATGGATCGTATGCTTAATTCTGGCGAGGTTGCGGAAAGTATCTTTGGTATCTTGTGCCTTGACTGTGCAACGTACGCGCATTATCACAATCTAGGCCTACTTCGAAGCTCTGCACGTACTGGCCTAGAGGCAGAATGGACGGTAGAAGATATAGTATACTTTACATTGTAGCAATAAAGCTGAGTCTGTAATTGCACGCCATAAGCATAGCGACTCGTCATGACCATTTTCAATGGCCATCCTGACCTAGCAGACCAACATATACTTCCAACTATACTCTACGTGCACACCAAGACCTGCAGCACGCCACACTACGTCTATGCAAAATAGACCATACTCCAATCATGGCCGTCCACCGGGGCCTACATACCAGCCTTCCAGCGATGCCCTCCGGCTCCGCACACCTCCCAGCAACACACCACCACCATCAAGCGGAGAAATATGTATACAACATATCAATTGGCAAATGTCGTATGACGGTATCTTCTATAAGCTTATACACAGTAAATGCCCGCAAACTCGACTGACCGACGAACCCGCAGCAACCGGGGCTCTCAAACCACCCACAACAGCCACGCATTCATCCGCCATATCCGCGTGCTCGGAAATCCACCCAGAGCTAATTTAATGCTTCTGGTTCTTGAGGTTGGGGTTGCGGGGGTCGTTCTTGAACTCGGCGGCTAAGGTGTAACAACCGAGGTTAGCATGCATGATTCGGATCGAGAGAACAAGGGATTCGATGTTGGATTCAAGCTGACGCTTGACACCGTGCTGATATTGGAGAATGTCGTAACAGGTTCACTTACTCGACATCATGACGTTGGCGAAAGAGTTGACACCGTAGAGGATGACCAGACCTGTAATTCGAAATACCGTTAGAAAGCCGCTATTACCCCCCTCTCTCTCAACGCGCTTCAATGCGAGTTATTCTGTCATATCTGCATAGCTATCCAGGCTAGACATGGCCATTCAACAAGGTAATAGGTGTGCATGCATACCGGCGGCGAAGAAGGGAGCCATGGGCTTGGCTAAATGAGCAAAGCAAGTCAGTTCATATCCTCATCTCTCGAACCCAACATGGGCGCGCCAGGACCAAGGCAAACGTACCAACGGGGGTGGGGAACTTCTTTCCGAGGAGAGACATGGTGGGCAGATCGTTTGATTGAAAGCGAAGTGCTGGGTATGGAGGAAAGACGGGAGTTGGAGCAGCTGGTGAAGGAGCGACGAGGACGAGAGCGGGTACAACGAGGTTTGTCCGGGAGTCCGAATCCCCAGCCGCTTTAACGCTTCGGGAAGGATTTGCCTCGCCGCTTTTACGGCTGCGTCTATCGCTGGTTGCCCCTCCGCAGTAAACAATCAACAATCACGACAACGATTAATCAAGGCAATACACTACACGAGTTTCTTCCAGCAGATACCTGATATTTCTTTCCAAAACAACTGCAATGGCAGACCACCTCCAAGCCTCCGTCTCATCCCTAGGATCCTCCCTCCAACTCCTCGATTCCTCCATCTCCACCCTCGATTCCGGCATTAGCGACTTTCCCCGACTATGCAAGGTCTTGCAAACAACCCGAGTACGTGCACCCCTCACCCCCTAATCATATGCCTAATCTAACTCCAAAAGCACTTCGAACTCCTTCCCGAACCTACTCTGCGCGAAGCTCAACAATCCCTGCTAGACGAAATCACTCCCAGCATCGCCCACCTGCTCTCACTAGCGTCGAACCATGTGGAGAAGCTCTCGCGACGAGAACAAGGACTGAGAGCTAAATGCGAACTGCAAGAGGGGAGAATGTACTCGAATGAGAGCCGTCAGCCTTCGAGAATGCGTAGCGCTTATGGCGACCGACTACAGAGCGGGGGCGCCTCAGGGAAGGCTGCGAAGGCGGCGGAGTTGAAACGACTGATGCAGAAGAAGGAACGGTTGCAGTATGCGGTGGAGAGGTTGGAGCTGCAGAGTACACAGAGGGAGAGGCAGTTGAGGAAGAGTATGGCGTTTCACTAGAGCTCGGCTTGATGGATGAAAGTGATGCTTGCTGAGAGCTCTTCGACTAAGATGGGATCGTTTGAGCCACCTCGGGCAATCCTGCGAATGTAGGATATCAGATGACTGAGGATATGGCTAAGGAAGATATGGCTTGTGGCTACGATGTTATTTCTCAGAGTCAAGAGGGGGTGCATCTCGTCAGGGAGAGTATAGCCCCGATTCGGGATGTGCGGCCGCATATCCACTTATGGCCGTGTCGAGTTATGACTATGCTCTACAGGTCGACACTGCATAATGAAAGTGCAGATCCGCTGTGAATAGGACCACCCGCGCGAAACTATAGCCATCGCGCGCCACTATGAGCGGAAGCTGCCAGAGTTGGAGGACAATGTTGGGAAAATTCAGTGTTCACGTGGAACGCTCAATCATACAAGTCCCTGGGGCACTTGCAGAGGGATCTATAGAGCTGCCCCTACCGCTACGCATGATGCCCATGCACAAGATGAATAATGGAGATTGTGCCATTGAGTGAAGAAGTCTTTACAACAGCTATGGTCTATCCTACATGTCATATATCGTACAGGAATATAATACAATGACCATCCTCAACCCACAAACAATGCTCCTAGCCAGGAAGCAACCCAAACCCTCTATACGCCACTTTTGACTCCAAAGTAGATACCCGAAAAAGTAACAAGCTAGCCCAGACCCAGTGATAGTTTAGGCCGAAGGCTTCACCTGCTTCAAAGCCTGTCTGCGCTTCTTCTTCATCTGCTGCTTCTCCCAACTGGGTATCTTCTGGCCCTTCTTCTTAATCGGAGTCTGAAGATCAGGCATACTGCTGGTAGCCTCAATACCTTCCTCCATAGCATCCTCTGCGTCTTCCTCCATCTCCTCTTTCTCAGCAGCCCGCCGGGCAAGTCGCTCCTTCCTACTCTCACCATGCTTCTCACCGAGTCTCAGCGATCTGGCAACACGTGTCTTCGCGCCAAGAGCCCATAGGTCTCCCCACTGGGACTTGCGCGCATCCTTGTACGCTTGCCGACTGAATGATCGGGGGACGGTCCAGCGCTCGATCTTGCCGGCCGGCGTGCAAAGGTCGAAGATGACGTGACCGCGGCGCTTCATTGGTTGGTAGACGATACGGGGCAGGGAAAGGAAGTTGACGCCCCCTGTTTCCTGTTGCTCTGTATAAGGTGTAGGTTGAGTCTCGGATGCGACAGCCTCGTCGGATGATGCTTCGGCTTCTTGCTTAGGCATCTCGACTGCGTCTTCGTATCCGTTAAACGCTGCATCTGCGGCCTCGGTGCCCTGGATGATGCTGTCCTCAACACGACGATCGACACCGCGCTGGACGGCGATGTAACTGAATTTCAGGTCCTCATGATTGCGGTCCTTGGCGCCGATGATGCGCTGGAGGAAGGCCGGACGGATGTAGCGTTGCTGGAAGTGGCAGTAATCTCTACGGCCCTTGGTATGACCGGGGATCTGGTACATGGGGCACTTGTTGTGGTTGGTGCAAGGGGCGACGATCATGCCGGCTTCTTTCTCGATGAACGTGTCTTCTTCGGGCGATTCGGTCAAGTTTTCGTATGTGGTGGATCCGGGGCTGGAGATGAATCGCTTCAAGAGCATGTCACGCGCTCCGGCAACGGCTTCGAAGCCCTTCTGGTGTCCCTTTTCTAAGAGGATCAGAACACCTCCGTTGGGGTTTAGGAGGTTCCATAGGTTCTGTACATGTTCCTTCCGGAGGAACTCTTCCTCAATTCCGAGCAGGGAGTGTGGAGCGATGATGATGTCGTACTGTTTCCGCTTGGGCGGAGCCCGTTCATCTTGCAAGGTTGGCTTCTCGCGAACATGGACGTAGTCGGGCAGTCGTGGCAGGAAGCTGGTATCTTCGAGCATCGCGCTGGCACGGAGACGAAGAGAGTCAGAGCCAGTGACAACGGTCGACCGGCCCACGGGATAGGGGTCCTCTGAGCTGTGCTCTGGCGTCATGGCTTCCCACTCCGCACGAAGGATATCTCTCCACGCCAAAACACCTGCACCACCGGCACTAACATCAAGGACATGGGGGCCCCCTTCTTGTGTCATCAGGTTCCGGATCCAGTCCGTACCCAAGCGTTTCCGGACTTCCACCAAAACACTCAGGACAGATGCATACATGCCAGGGTAGAGAGTGGCAAGAAAGACATTGGCTTCCATTTCGCTCATGTACCGCTGGGATGCTTCTAGAGGAATCGGCTGTTGAGGAGCTTGCAAGCGCAGGGGAGGGGTTGTGGTGGAATAAGGAAGGTATTGGCCGCCGAGTGTGCGGTGGGCGGTATCCGCAATGTGCTTGTTCGAAAAGTCGGACAGAATGACAGAAATAGGGCCCGTCACGCTATCCTTGGGTATGAATATAGTGCTAGGATCGGTGGAAAACTTCCCCATTGTGGTCAAAGGATGGAATTTGGGAGCCGAGTCTGCTGCTGCTTCCTCTTCGAACTGCTCGAGCATGATCTCTCCGCCCAACTGCTCGGCGACTTCTCTCGTCCGTTGCATCGCGATCGTTTCCTCGACTGACGGCGGAGCTTCCATATCATAGACCAACGGAGGTTCGTCGTGTGTGGCAGACTCATCCATCGCAACTTCTTCCCAGCCGCCCTCACCATCTTCACGGTATAGTTTATCCGGATCTATCTCTTCTTCCACTAGGTCCAACTCAGACTCTTGTGAAAGATAGATTGGTTCGCCGTACAACCGAGTATACAGCTGAGTCTCTCTATCGTTTAAGAGACCCTCCGGAAGGTATTCACCAAACTCCTGTCTTGCCTCTCGCACCCGCGCATCCAATGTTTCTTCGTCGCGGTGACCGATCGTCTGACTCAACGCATAATCGAAATCGAGACCTTCGAGGTTAAGGGCTTTCTCGTGATCGTCCAAAAGATCCAGCTCGTGCATAAGCTCAGCCATCTCCAGGTCCGTTTCGTTGATCTTGTCGACTAAGGCGTAAATAGCATCTTTCTTCTCCGCATCGGGGTCGGTCTCCGTCGCTGTCGTGGACGACGCATGCCTCCGGCCGTGCAGCCATTGTTGAGTACGAGCGTAGGTAGCTTCTCTGAATAGGGATTCCAAGTGTAAGGTCGATGGGGATGTTTTGCGGGCAATCGAAGTTCTGGGGCGCCCAGCTATGAAGCTGGCAGCTCCGCGGCGGAGAGGCTGTGAACCGGTCTGCGGCGACCTGGATACGGCCGGACGTAATAGGACATGGGGATTGGACCGGGTCGCCCTGACTGCCGGAGATCGTGACAACATCCTCAACCCTTCCACGGCTCGAGATGCAAATATCAGGAGCTTGTACCTGAAAGAAATTGTCTTGCCACTGGAGAGCTTTTGCCAGGAAAACTCGCGCCAAGCCGCATGCCCATCAGAAATTCCGCAGCTCCTATTGGCTGTTCAAGTAACAGAGCGTTACATAATCATCTAGACCGAATTGGTGCCTCAGGAATCACCAGGAATGGAGAGGTGCATGCATTAAAGATCAAAAGGTGGGAGGAAATGTTGGATGCATAATAATAGACCTATTTACAAAGCTGGTTATACTAGCTGGACGTACTACTGAGACTCGCTGTCCGTATCTTCGTTGCCCATGAGCACCTTGAGAGCTGATATCCACTTCAGCACTTCGTGCTCAAGAGCGGTTAGTTTGGCCATCACGGCCATAAGGCTAGGGTCCTGGCTCTCTACGCGGATCTTCTCCCTCACCTTGACTTCATCTCCTTTCCAGGTGAAGACATCGCCTGCCTCGTCGTGAGGACGATGGCGGCTTCCAAACAACCGGTCCCGCAGATTGAACCCGGTGAGAGAGATGTCAGTCGCGAATGCAGTTGGCGTATGGACAGGGGTGTTAGATTCTAGCGTCCTCAAATACAGGACTAAAGCCGAGTCCGCAATGGATAGATGGAATGATATGTATGCCGGTAGCGGGGGGTCAAACATCTACGACTACAGCTTAGCCCATGATCTAGAACGAAGAGAGCAAAAGTATAGCCACTTACCTCCTCTTGCGCACTTGTCTCCCACCACTTGCCTCTAACCTTATCGCTTTCGCCCTTCAGCATCTGCCGTGCTTCACTGATCGTCTCGCGCAGGAGGTGCAGTTGGCTGTAGATGAAGCCCGCGTTGAGCGGGTCACCGGTCCAGGTGCTTACATCGACAATGTCGAGACTTTGATTGACCAAGTTTTTGACCGATACTAATTGACTTAAAATGAGCTCGGGTGTTGTAGGGGTATTTGCCAGGCACAAGCGGGTAGTGGCTGAGCCCCGTGAGGCAAGGGAGCTAAGACGGAGTTGGATGTCCTATAGAGAGGTTTGATTAGCGTCATCCTGGAAGCGCTACGTTGTGATAAGCAACGGCCATAGCGCGCAAAGGATGCGGGTCCATATCCTTGGGCTGCATCATAAGCAATAAATGTGAGTGGTGACAACATACGCCCTTCACGATCTTTGTCCCAACCCGAGTCACAAAGCCTTTCACATTTTCAGAGCGTAGAGAAGAGAGGACGAGTGTTGATCCCGGCTCTTTGGGTGCTAATAGAGCCGCGCATTCATGGAGGCCCTCCCGTAGCGAGGTAAGGGAGTCTTGCAGCGAACGTAATAGCCATTCTAGCTCTTTGGCCTATACAGTTGCCAAAAAAGTTAGTACCGTCCTTGCCCTATCGATGATGCATGTGCGCCATCGGGTCGGCTCAAAATTGAGGTTCACCGGGGACGGAGAAATAAAACAGGGCATACCAACGCGGAGTCGACTTCCTGTTCTAGGCGCTCTGGGGGTAGAGGCGGGTAAGCCCAAGTAGCCATTATGAGCAATGACCCAGCGGGTTAGTTGCGACCCTCGGGAGATCGGATGATTGTACCTTTGGCCCGACAGTGGTCAATGGATCGGTAGGGAGCGATGGGGGGTATGGGGGTGTGGACAGGACACGGTAGGCAGCAGGGTTTGTCTTCAGGGTCTGGTGACGAAGTCGACAGAAGAAAAAATCCGCATTGGCTTTCGAGTGATCCACGTCGATCCGAGAGGAGGAAAGGCGGGTACCCAACTCAATGGATGGATGGTGGGTGGTGCAACGTTTGTTCAGAGGACGAAAGTTGCAGCGGAAGAGGGAGTTCGACAACGTCATGGATAAGGAATGATGGGCCTCAGCGCCCAGGCCTTCAGGCAACCTTATCCCGATATAGACTAGCGCAGCGCTAAGGTTTAGACTAGCCGAGGACAGTTAGCGGGGCCTGCTGCAACCATGACGTCGACGCCGTCATGGCTGGCCAGTTTGTGCCTCGTCGATCCAAAGAAAACATTGATTCGCAGTTACGCTCATTGTTGAAGGTCACCCTCATCATTATATCACTACTATGGCTCCCCTGGTACTTTATTTCCCCCCCTCCTCCCACATCCCTCCACCGGCTTCTCCGGATATCCACTCCCTCGCAGACAGACCCTTTCGATCCTTCGTCTGTTCTTGTTTCTCTTCCCCATCTATAGGGTCTCTCATCTCTCTCTCTCGAATGATAGTTAGATACCCGTCGCAATCAATAACTTAGCTTGTGCTGGGACTCTTCCAATCACCGGCTCATTAGCGAATTCAGAAATTTTGACAAAATACCGTTACAATGGCTCTCAGCAGTGAGTACATCCCCTGCAGGATGAGTGCCTGCTGCGTCGCACAACAACTAAACTGACACCAATTGTACTGTAGGAGTTGCAATGGGCTTCCTAGGCCTGTTCTTCACGGCCGGTGCTCTTCTGTTGATGTTCCTGACTTTTTTGGGCGGAGCGAGAAACTCGCGCCCTCTGAACGAAATCTTCTTCCTGCAGGTCGACACAAGCAATATTCCAGGTGCACCATCCTTATCTCGCTGGACTTTCTGGGAGATATGTGCAGTGTCGGCGAATGGAAAAAACCAATGCGGATCGTCTTACCCAGACTTCCCATTTGATCCCCCGAGCCAGCGCAACTTTGGCACCACTGAGAACATTCCCTCTGCTTTCATCGGGTGAGCAAGAAATCAATTGCAAGATTATCCGTCGTACGATCGCAATCTAACATTCCACAGCACGAACCACTACTTCCTCACATCGCGGTTCTCGTTCCCCTTCCTCATCATCGCGCTCTTCTTCGGCGTGGTGTCGCTGTTCACTGGGTTCCTGGCCATGTGCACGCGCATTGGAAGCTATATCTCTTCGCTGATGGCTTGGATCGCCTTGATCTTCCAGATCATCACGACTTGCCTTATCACGTAAGTTTACCACAGAAATTGGAACGGAGCTTCACTAACCATCTCAAGTGCTGTCTACGTCCAAGGTCGCAACAAGTTCAACGCCAATGGCCAGAGCGCCAGCGTGGGTGTCAAGGCTTTCGCTTTCATGTGGACCGCTGTGGCTTGCCTGCTGCTTGCATGCATGTTCTATTGCATGGGTGGTGCTGTCGGACGCAAGGAGAGGGGATACAGTGGCCGTGAGCACCGTCGCCGGGGCTTCTTCTCGTCCGCACGCTCAAACAGCGTAAGAAGCAACAAGGAGACTGCGCCATAAATTCAACGTGGTCTTGTTTCTTTGATACTATCCAGGAAGAAATGAAAGAAACTGGGCTATAGTACTTCGTCAATACCTACTATAGTACGCCGGCCTCCGCCAATTGTTTACCTATCAGCCGCAAGCCTTATACTCGCCCCGTCAACACCGAAGGGTGCGTCTACCGGAGTATGGATCTGATTGTTTATGACTTGTTCTTTGCGGGTTGAGTAGCCGCGCCCTCCTGTGCGAGCGAATCAAGTGGGCTCATCCGCGCATGCTAACATTAATGTCTCTTTGACGATGGATGTCTGTTTGTTTAGTCGGCCAAGTTTCATGTATTATACTGTCTTTGCTACTTTATATCTATCCGCCCTTAATTGTAATACAATTTATCTGAAAAGAATGAACTGACGCATGAAGACTAACAGAACATGACTATGTTCGTAAGGATTCTATCATTTTCAATATAGTAGTCACTGAGAAATCAACTGTATGCATAATGTATAAGAATAGTTGAGTATACTTCCCAAGCTCAATGCTGTGAAGCGGATGGATTGTGACACCACTTGTCTCTTGTTACTATTTTACTTATATTCTATCTACCATTATAACTGTGTGCTTGCGCTGTGCTACCTTCTTAGGATCATAAGGAGGTGGAAGAATGTGCCCTACAGAAGCAGATAGTGAAATCCTACGGCACAACTTTAGACCCATACATTGTTACTTCTGAATATGTTAGGAAAATGAGTCTGGAAACACATCGGCTTTCTATTGTGCTTCAAAACAGCTCTATATACTTTTAGAAGCCTTCATCGATACATCATCATCAATAAGTCATAGCAAGACAGAATGCAGAACGTATTCCCTGAGTCCTGCCCGGTGCACCCAATGAATGCAACGTTAGTTGCAAAGAGGCCACAGGGGTCATAGGAGTCGTTCAACAAATGGTTATAAAAATCTAGATCGATTCATAGAAGGAAAAGCATCGTTATAGTCTTGAGATGTTCAAAGATATATGAGCAAGAAAATTATACGTTAAAGGAAAATCTAGGCCTTGGGAGCCTCAACGGCACCGCGGACGGCACCTTGGCCGCCAACTTCCTTGGCCGTGATCTGCAGACCAAGGTCAGCGTTGACGTGGATCATCAGCTCAACCTTGCTGCCAGCCTTGACGCCCTTGACGGCCAGCTCAGCAATGGGCTTCTCGGTCTTCCAGACGAGCTCGCGGATCTCCTCCTCTTCCTCCTCATCGGAGTCGAAGTCAGAGTCATCCTCATCCTCTTCGGTCTTGGTCTTCTCCTCCTTGGGCTTGGGCTCGGGCTTGGTAACCTTGATCTCACGAACACCCTCGCAGACACGGACGAAGACATCGCCGCCCTCCTTGGGGACAGAGAACTGCGCAGTACGACGAGCGGGGAGAGCAGTCTCGGTGTTCAGGAGAGGCTTGAAGTCAACGGTCTCGCCAGAGGTGAACTCGACACCGATGGCATTCTGAAGGTGAGGGGTAGCGGTAACCATGGGGTGGATGGACTGCTCGATGTCCTCCTTGTCGAACTCCTGGATCAGGGAGGCCTGGATAGCGGCACCTCTGGGAGCGAGCTCGGAGGGGTTGATGGCACCAATGAAGGTGGAGGGAGCGAGGATGGTGGTCTTCTCGGGGAAGATGTTGCGGGCCAACTGGGCGATCTTGGGGGTGTGGGAAGTACCACCAGCGAAGATGACCTGCAAAAGTTAATATCGGGCTGCGAGCAGGATGAACAACAAAGGTTTAGATGGAACGAACCTCATCAATGTCCAGGACATCGAGACCAGCCTTCTTGACAACCTGCTCGATCAGGCCGGTGAACTGAGCGAACACCTTGCCGGAGAGCAGCTCGTAGCGGGTACGGTTGACGGTAGAGCCGTAGTCAATGCCGTCAGCCAGAGACTCGATGCTCAGAGTAGCGTTGGTACCGAGACTGAGAGCCTTTCTGGTGGCCTCACCCTCCAGCTTCAGCTTGGCCAGACCACGAGCGTTCTCGCGGGGGTCGGTCTTGTGCTTCTTCATGAACTCCTTAGCGAAGTGGTCGATGATGATCTTGTCCAACTGAGCACCGCCCAGCTCGTAGTCGTGAGCAGTAGCAAGAGTGGTGTACATGCCACCACGGCAAGCAACGACGGCGGCATCGGAGCGAGTGCCACCAAGGTCGGCGACAACGACCAGCTTGTCGGTCACGACAGCCTCGGGACGAGCGTCGTAGGCAAGGACAGCAGCAACGGGCTCGTGGATGAGTTGCAGGACCTCAAGGCCAGCAGCGTTGGCAGCGGCGATCAAAGCCTCACGCTGAGCATCCTTGAAGTCGGTGGGGACGGTGATAACAGCGGCGTTGACCTCCTTTCCAAGGAAATCAGCGGCAGACTGCTTCAGACGGCGGAGATGGCGGGTTGTGATCTCGGAGACGGTGACAGTGTTGGGGGTCTCGCTGGAGGTATCGCAAATGGAGAAAGCAACGGTCGAGTCGCTCTGTTGAGGGTGGGCCGAGTTGTGGCAGGGAGTGGGGTCTATCGACTTGAAGCTGTGCGAGTCTGTCAGCATGTGCGCCTAGTTGTCATCAGAACGAGTTGACATACTCCTTGCCAAGGAAATCTCTGAAGTAGGCAACGGTGTTCTTGGAGTTGCGGATAAGCTGGGCCTTAGCCTGAGTACCGTGGTATTCCTCGCCATCAATGTAGGAGAGGACGGTAGGGATTTGACGGTCTGGTGATGTGTAAGTCGAAGTGTTCGAATACAAGACTTTTTTCAAAGCGCATTAAATTATACTAACCTCCCTCCTCGTTGGCAATAACCTCAGCCTTGCCTTCCTATAATCCAAGTCAAGTCAGCGGTCTGTCGCAACTTTGCACAGCGGTGGTGTAAAAGTCCCAATGGGGCGGGCATCCGCATGGGAAGGGTACAAAATTCACATACGGCGTTGATGCGGGCAATGGAGCTGGAGGAGTTGCCAAAGGAGATACCGATGGCGAATCTCTCAGCAGTGCCGTTAGTTTCGGAGCTCATCTTGACGGTAGGATGTGAAAAGAGATGAAGGGGATTGGGGGGAGGAGGGAAGAAGAAGAGGAGGAAATCAAGTCAAAGTAAGTCGGGCTGCTGCTTCTCGAACCGCCGCGCTTCATTTTGCCCCGAAGGAAAAAAATTTTGGCTGGTTTGCAATTGGTGGGCAGATGTGGCTGAGGGCTTATCGATAGTAGATGTGGCGGTGCAATTACAGTTCGGCAGTCATGCAGCAGTAGCGTCGAAAATCTAATGGGATTGATCATTCTCCACATATATCAATTAATATGGAGAAATAAGGAGGTGATTGCTCAGACACTACAGTTTCACAGCAAGTATACCCTGTATTGTTCACTCTCAGACCATCGTGGCGTCCGTCTCATCTTCAATCTAGATTGAGCTAGATCACGTGGAGATAAGCACCACCCGATAAGCCTTTGGATTTGCGCTTCTTTTTGCCCGTCGCGGTCAACCACTCCAGCATTCGTGAATCTCCAACACCCACTGCAGGCCCCAGTGGTAAACACACATTCAACATGTCATCTCCCTTGATCCTTCTCCCCGGGGACGAGATCCCATCAGAATACCTCCCATCTACCAATTCCGCGCCATTGAGACTTGGCCCCGGTCTCCGTCTACTTTCGCAACCGCCCTCCTCTTCCCCTCAAGCATCATCCTCCCCCAGCCATGTCCTCACAGCCACACAAGCCGGCATTCTTTCCACAGATACCAAACGGAACGCTGTATCTATCCTCTCGACTCCGAATCGCCGCTACATTCCTACCATCAATGACCTGGTCATCGCACAGGTCCACCACTCCAGTGTGGACTACTTCCACTGCATGATCACGCCGCAAGCGCCCCATGCGGTACTGGGACAACTGTCCTTCGAAGGTGCGACGAAGAAGACCCGGCCGATGCTGAAACAAGGCGATCTGGTTTACGCGCGTGTGCTCTCGGTGGGTCTGGGTGCGGGCGCGGAGGTTGAGCTGGCCTGTGTGAACCCTGCGACAGGCAAGGCTGAACCTGGAGGACTCGGTCAATTGAATGGGGGAATGGTGTTCGATATTTCTACTGGCATGGCTGCTAGGTTGATGAGGGCGAGCTCATCCTCTTCGGACTCACAGGATGGTGTGGCCGGGTTGGTGGTTCTGGAGGAATTGGGCAAGAAGTTGGAGAAATCGGGCGGCTTTGAGATCGCCGTGGGAAGAAATGGTAAAGTCTGGGTCGACTGTTCTAGCGGAGGCGAAACTTCCGTCAAGGCGACAGTAGCTGTGGGACGGTGTCTGACTACGATTGATGAGCACGATTTGAATCCGGCGGATCAGAAGAAGTTGGTATCGAGGATAATGCGGGAGATGAAGATTGAGGTATAGATGTGCTTTGTCTCTTAATGATTGATCGTGTGATAATACCATGCATTGTTTGATGATTCTTGCGCGCGATGATATGTAGCAGAAGTGTGGGTACTCGATGTACATACATTGGTGTATTGTTCTGGGCCTGGATTAAGCAGTAGAAACTTGTGACCAACAGAGTAACCTCTTCGATGGGAGTTGGAGGGAGTTTCTTCGACAGTGAGAGTCTCTTACGAGCATATACTAAAGTGCTCACAACACTACTTTTAAGTCCATGCATCGCTCCGTGTTTGCTGTGTCTGTGCTTGACAGCCCTTTGAGTTTTAGCTACCATGATAGATGCAATTGTCAGTGTTATTCAAGAAAGGAAATCCCCAGAAAGCCTGATAGCAGTTAAGCATGCGAAGTATCCATCCCTTATAGCTAAGAATACAAATGGGAGATTGTCGCTTGAAACACAGCGCTCCATCCTGTCGTCACAGTCTCCTTCGACACTGCGGGGATATAGAGAAGACAAACCCCCAATCATAGGCATTACATATGAAAATTTTAATTGGCCTTCTTTCATACTGTTGAGAGAAATATAAGGACTAGAAGCGTTCGATCAGTCAAAGCATAAAGCAACCATTTTGATAAACTCGCCATGTATGGAGCTGCCAAATAGCCCTTACCAACAGTATATGTGCGGGCAATTCGTAATATTATATATTTTCCATGTAATTTGTCTCTTCAATGTGCGTCAGGATATACGCACTTTTCGAGATCTGTGCTCTTGGGATTGTTGTCGTAATTTCCGGAGGGAATTTGGGAATTTGGCCACTATTGTCATGTATGATACATCGTGTAGAAAAGCGTTTTCTTTGGCTCTGTTGTCCAGTTTACATTGTGGTATCACCGGCACTTGACTACTTGAATAGTCACATTCGTTGAAGATACTATATATTGCATATTAGTATTTTAGCACTGTGCTATCATTTACATCAGACAAGATAAAAAAAAAATCTTCAATTATTCATGTACAAGTAATATCACATCAGCTCTTCTACAAGTCAAACACAATGAAGTAGGGGGCTTTGTTTCCAGAAACCAAATAATATGGCAATATCAAGTATCTAGGGCAAGTCCGGAATGCTATGATCGACACTAAGATCCTGTCGGGCCCCACAAATGGGCTTTCCCCCACCCAGTCTAAAGAGGTCCCACAGCCCGGATACAACCCCAAAGCATTCTAAATACTACATAGCAGGCGTCAGCTACAGAGTTAAAAGAAAGAACTACACCTTCGATAAGAGGCAAGCAGTCGAGGGAATTCGCCAGTATAACCCACTTGAACAAACCTTCTAAATTCAGTCGTCATATCCCACCATCAGGTAGGTCATGGAAGACCTGTCCGTCTACGAGCAGAACAATCTCCTCTACTCACAGGAAAAGCTATCAAACAATCGACCAGGTGGATACCACCCAGCATCCCTGGGAGACACATTCAAGGATGGTCGCTACGAAATTCAACACAAACTAGGTTGGGGAGGGTTTTCCACCGTGTGGCTTGCGCACGATAAAGAGTGAGTTTGTCACCAACTAGCGTCTACATGTCTCTACTATAAGTAACATATTATCAGGAAAAACCAATGGGTTTCATTGAAGATCGTGAGAGCAGATACCTCCCAGGGCTCTCGAGAACTTCACAATCTACAATTATTAACAGACCGTTCCCAGGGAAAGCCGTCTGCAAAATACATTGGTTCCGTTCTCGACTCATTTACCCATCAGGGCCCTAATGGTACCCACTCGTGTATTGTATTCGAGTTGCTAGGTCCTTCTGTCAGTAAGGTTGTTGATGACTACCACGCCTTTGGGGATGACCTTGAGATGGACATTATTCTTCGGATGTCGGAGCAGCTTCTAGAAGCTATCAGCTTGATTCATGAAGCTGGCATGGGGCATGGGGGTACATCACCTGCAAGAAACATGCCACTACTCTAATATACTGACAAAGATACAGACATAAGCGGCGAAAACATCGCATTCAGCTGTACCAATCTCTCGCACGCCACGAAAGAAGAGCTTTTCGCAGTCCTCGGATCTCCAGAAGTGGAAGAACTAGCTCGACTCGACGGCAAGCCACCAGACAACAGCCTACCAAAACAACTAGTAAAATCCGCAGAATGGGAAACATGGGTAGATGAAGATGAAGAAGATATTCGGATTCTCGATTTCGGGGAAGCGTTCCTGCAGGGGAACGAGCCTAAAGTACTTGCTCAGCCAGGGCAATTGCGGGTCCCTGAGCTAATATTCACCGATTCCTTTGACTATCGTGTTGATTTATGGCGCGCTGGCTGTATGGTAAGTAACCCCATCCCTGCCTTTTCTGCAGAGGATAAGAAGTTGACATCACATTGAGATCCATGCATTCATGTTTGGATCATATCCATTCTACTACCTAGGTGAAGACGAAGTCCTGGTCTCACAGATGATCCGCTTTGTGGGAAAGTTGCCGAAGGACTGGCAGCCGATATGGGAATGCATGAAGATGAACTTTAAGCGTGAACTAAAAACGTCAGAAGGTGAGTAAAATGCTATTCTCTGTGTACCTGAAACACGTATGTTTGCTAAGTGAATCGAAAGACGACCAGGTGTCTGAACTAGACAGAAGGTTCAGTAGAAGGGAGCCGGATCCGATACGTAACCGTCTTTTTTCGGTCATTCGGAAATTGATGAGATTTGTACCGTCGAGTCGAATAGAGGCATCTGAAGCACTTGCTCTCTTGAGGTTAGAGCAGGATGCAGATTATGATACTTGAACATATACTTTTTCTCTACATTGAATTAGTCGATAGAAGGACGCACTTGAACAAAGAAAGCAATCAATTATGATAATATTCGTTCTCCATGTCCATCGAAGATCTCGCAAACGGACATCATGACTTCGACCCAAACCCTTCGAATTCGGCTAGACCTTTCACTGGGGTTGCAGCCGGCGAAAGTGGCAGACTTGCCTTCCATTTTCCGACATTATCAATCGGAATAGTGGCGGGGGACAGTGAACGTTTATGTCCGTTGACTGTTACAGCGTCTTGATCTCTCCTTAAGGCTGAAGCATCAACATTTTCTTCAGTAGCAGCACTGTATCCAGCAGCAGCAGAACCTCTAGTAGATGTCTGCGCAATAAGATGTATCGATAGCTTCGCCCTAGCTGAAGAAGAGGGATGAATGTACTGGTCAAAGAACTCGAGTATGTCTTTCCTCGTAAGTGGTTCAATGTGCTCCACCTCTTGGTATACTGGAGATTCGGTCCACCCAGTTAGTCAATTCACAGGGTAATTATGATGAGTATGAAAGTCCCAATCATACCTTGCTCAAAGTCAAGCACCCCACTCATAATCTGAGTCCAAAACCGCGACGTTTCTTGGTCCAAATTCTTCAATTTCTCCAAGAGTCTGTTGATCAACCCGATCTTGTGCTCTTCAAATATCTCGTCGGTCATCGCGCGCAACTCATGCGCAAAGGTTTCCAGAAATGCATCACAGCGCTCTTCGAGGTACTTGCAATCCCTCTCGCTCTGCACGAGGATGCGCCACGTACCCGTAGTCACGTAGACTCCTATAGCCGAGTTGACGATATATCCGAGTTGCTCTTTTGTGCGCAGTGTGCTGAAGCATGGTTCTGCGACAACCTGGGAGAAAAGTAGCAACTTGGCTCGTTGTGAACGGTCCGAGACAGAGCCGACTGAGATGATATACTCGAGACAATGGTTGATGTTATCCGGGTTCTTCAGTACCCGCTCGTATAGGTAGTTTGCTCCGCTTGGTAGCGTAATTGTGCGGCGTGATGGCCATTGGCTTTTTGGAAATTGACGTGGGCGGAGTGTTGATTCTACAAAATTTGTTATACTTAGTGCATCATCTTTATATAGGTTGCCATGAACGAGGATCTCGATGTGTATTTGTCGCAGCAGCTGCGGAATATATGAATGTATATCCTCAGCTGTCACTGCTGGAAGCTCCTCGAGTAGTTGAGAAGGAGCCCAGGATCTTTCGTTGATTAACAGGCGCGAAAAGGTATTGATTTGTCGATACGGCTCCAGGTAGTCAAAATTCTTATATGCTTTCCACACCCTCTCCTTGGCCACGTCGGATTGTTCTTGTTTGACTTCCAAATCTCTTACTGCCAGTAATACTTTCTTCAAAAGCACTGACATCTTGTCGTTGAAACCCTTTAGCTCTATAATTAGTCCCTGTGCGTTTTCTGATATATCGTAGCTCAAACCGGCCTTATCCGCGTTATAGGCGTATTCATCAAAGCTGTCCTCGACCAAATCAACGTATAAACGCGTCATGACAGCATACATTGGTGTGAGTGCGACCATGGGAGACCGAAGAAGGATCTTTATATTGGCTTTGGGCGCCCAGAACTGGTCATCCTTTTTGAACCACACACGGACATGGTCGTCGTGACGGATTAGCGTAGGCTGACGAGCTGGTTCTGCGACATCCTTTCGTTCAACATCTAATCGTTGAGGAATAAACTCGTTCACAGCTGGTAAATGAAGTTTAGGGGGACTTTCTGGATTTGGAGCCTGTGCGGTTGTCCAAAGCTCTTCCATGAAATCATTGGGTATATTTTCGAGCTTGTATTCGGTCCCATACCACTTTTCCTTTGCGTTCCGATCTCCCGGGAACTGTTGATCGACAAGAAAGAATCGAAAGTTATCAGGCCGTAGATGCGATAGACCACGCTGGATGCTTTCTGGATCAAACTTGCGAATGAGAGGATAGCTGAGTAACTGCTCGCGTGGTATACAAGTGTTCTGCATGAGCTGGGCTAGACCGCTAACAGTTCGGGATGGAGGGCCTTTCTGCTTGAATTTGAATTCCACCTCAGCTAGGCGGCTTATTTCATCCGATATCCAGGCAGACGGTGGGTTCTCTTTCAGCATAGAAATATATTGGAAGATGATCTTTAAGACCTTCCGGTGTTGACAAACGCCCTTCTCTGTAAGTCTCACGTCAATACAGAAAAGTGCTGAACCAGGACACAGAGTAGAAGCCCCAGCCGACAAAGAGTCCGCGAGACCCAGCTCCTTCAGATAAGCGAGAGCACTGCCAGGGCCCCCATGGCCAATTAGATGCTCCAGATATAGACTGGGATGGGAGTCGACGAGATCTTCTTCATCGGGGTAGGTGAAATCAATGTTTAACTGTCTTTGCTCTGTCACTGGTTTAACAAATATTTGTGTCGTGAGCTCGGATTCAGTCAAGACTGGTATACCGTCCCACCTCAAACGGTGCAGATTCTTATTCGGTACTTTAGAGAAGAGCTCCTCAACCCAGCCCTGTAACTCCTGCAGTGGTTCTCTACCCAAAACAACAAGCTTCATACGGTTCGCAGAATAGTGGGCGTCGTAAAACTCGATAAAGCGCTTCCGAATATCGACGCCTCGCGATACCGGCTCTTCATACAAACACTGATAATTGCCGGTAGCAAACTTGTGAATGGGATGCTTTTCATTCGAAGTGCTACGGCCTAATTGTTCAAGGCGCCACGTGTCGCTTTGAAGATTCTTCTTATTTTCTGAATCCACTGCGCGCAGTTCGCGATCTAGGGTATCGGCGAGAAAGAGTGGTTGAATGAAGAACTGCGAGAAACGATCGAGGGCGCCATAGAGAGGTGACTTATTCTTGGAAATTGAAACATTAGGCCCCTTTTTGCTTGCGGATGACTCTGAAATATTTGATGTTGAACTTGCAGATAGTTCGAAGTAGTAATTGGTCGATGTCGAGGCCGTGTAGGCGTTGGAGGAGCCACCATACTTGGCCAGATAAGTGCTATACTCGGTCTCTTCTGGATACTAGACAAGAATGTTAGTATTGGGCTACCAATAGCTCTGCATATCGTCTGTTCACCTTTTTCGTTCCCATAAAACACAGATGCTCCACCGCGTGCGCGGTCCCTGGCAGATCATCCGGGTCGCTGAAGCTACCAACATTGACATCCATAGCAGCGGCAGCTTTGTCAGTGTCTGGATCGTGTATCAAAAGGACTTCTAGTTGATTGAGTAATTGAATCACTCGGTATGAGCGATTGTCCAACAGCGGCTTTTCCATTGTGTCCGAAATGAGCTCAACAGAGTCGAAGCGAAGCGCTTCTCCCATGTATTCCGTCTTCGAACTGTACGTGATAGCTCTCTTGTGATCAAAGATACGCGAATTTAATGCGCTGTGACTGGAAATTGGAGCTGCAGCAGTCTAAACTATGCTAACCGAGACGGAGATCCGCTGATGTATCTGAGGGACTTAGTGAGATTCGCGAGTCGAGCGGTTCCATCGACAACTGATTCTGATACTATAGAGAGGATATAAAAATAGAGGCGAGTAGGGAGACTGGTCGAATGTTGCGTGCAGGGGCGACAAAGTTGAAGAAAAGAAAAGGAACTATACAGATCAGCAGTCTGGTGCACACAAGACCAAGCCACTAATGCCACGCCATGCAATTAAACCCGTGCAGACTTGACTTTACACAGCCTGTGTATCATAACCCCGCTTGTCCACTTGCATATTCCTTCCACTTATCATTCGGAACAGCCCGACAATTCCTTAGGGATAGCGCGGATGGCACGGCACAGCAAGAATGCCGAATGAGATGGTCTGGTGGGATTCAGACCTTAGGTGACTAAGAAGATCTAGACTGCATTCTGTACTTATGTCCTTTGGTCATGCTGGGCCAAATTTCGGCTCCTTATCGGATCACTGGATTCGCAATTGACGCGATTCTATGATGGAGGAATAAGTACTGCGGGTGGGACGCTTCCAGTCGCAGTCGCCGCTCAGATTAGCCCTGGATTCTTCATATTATTCTCCTCAAGACATGCTTGCCGTGGTCGTCGGCTTCACTTTCATCGTATCATGGATCGTTGCTTCATTCCATCGCAACCACAATTCCAGCTTGAAAGACATTCCCAATGCTCATTTCTCCGCCCCCTATTCACGCCTGTGGTTGCTGTCACTCCGATGGCGGAATCTGGAGAATCGGACTCGAATCCAACTCCATCGTCGCCTTGGACCAGTCATTCGGATTGGACCCCGTGATGTGAGTGTAAATTGCATCGATGACGGGGTTCGCACAATCTACAACAGCAAATTCGACAAAGATGAATCCTTCTACCATGAATTGTTCGATCAGTAAGTCCCTGATGCATTCGCAACTCCCAGATTGAATGATACAAGTCGATGTCTAACCGAATCCAGGGTTGGCTACATGGTCACCATGACAGGCAACGACGAGCACAGGGAGCGTAAACGTATGCTTTCTCGCCCTTACTCCAATTCGTACATTCTCAACTCTCAACCCCTCGGCAGTGTCCTCTCCCGCGTATCGAGTCACCTTAAAGAGAAAATGACAGAGTGGGCAAGCACTAGTACCTCTGTCGATGTCTATCAGCAGGCGAAATGCTGCACCCTTGACGTTGCCTCAGGCTGGCTCTTTGGCAGCGAAAACGCGACCGATACTTTACGGGACTCGGGATTTGAGAACGACCTCACAACGTTGGCCTCAGCGGCGTCGAAGATAGTTTCTGTGCGGACCACCCTCTACTGGCCGTTACCTACCTTGCAAGCTTGATCGGCAACAGGTTGCCCAATCCCGATGCCACTTTTCGATGGCAAGCGTGGCTCACACGAGCGATTACAGATGCCTACAGGAGGCATCCCGCCAAGCATTCTTCCACCGCGAGCCTGTATGACAGTTTCTATGATGCTTTCAAAGCCGCCAACCCCAAGATGCCGCGTAACGAAATGGCTTCTTACATCGCTGTTGAGTGCGATGATCATCTTTCGGCAAGTCATCTTGGCCTGGGAACGTTACTGGCATATACCATGTACGAGCTATCGAGACATCCAGACTGCCAGCGGGCGCTCCGGAAAGAGCTCCTCAGTCTGGCCGAATCTAGCGATCAGAGCCTGGCTCATCGCCTTGCGGATTTACCCGTGCTTGATGCTGTCGTTACCGAGACCATGCGGACACGGGCACCCTGTCCTGGCCCGTTTCCTCGTGTCGTGCCGGACTCTGGCTGCCGGCTCGCGGGGAAGTTCGATGTCCCCGGCGGCACCATCGTCAGCTCCTCTGCCTGGGCCCTTCACTTCAACCCGGTTCCTTTTCCGTCCCCGGAAAAATGGCACCCGGGTAGATGGCTCGAAGCAGACGAGGACACGATCGCGGAGATGCGGAAGTGGGTTTGGACCTTTGGAAGCGGCGCGCGAGTATGCATTGGCACTCATTTCTCCATGCGTGGTATGTCCCACTTCTCCTCGATCGAAGAACGCGCTGACAATGTAATAATAACAAGTCATAAAAGAGCTACTTGCAACCATCTATATGGATTATGAGACTTACCTGGATGATGGATTTACAGGAAATGTGGAACAGGTGGATGCCTTTTCCGCGGGTCCTATTGCAGGTTGTCTGCAGCTGAAATTCCGACGGCTCACATAACCAACTATCTAGAGTGAAATGATTACAAACTAGCTATATGTTTTAGTAGTTGCTTGTGCAGAGTAACTCTCTGCTTTCAAGTGTAATTGCGCCCGCACAGCAGTGGCGCTGACGTGAGGATAATGGTTTACGCTTACAACATTCGAAAGGAGTAATTAGTTTGCGAGCAAAGACATGACAAAGTAGTCCCTCAATGCTGCAGAGTCTTCCACTCAACATTTTCTTCATATTGTCAAACGCACCTGCTATTGGTGATCGACAATGTAAGTCTTTTGATCATCCAGCCATCCCGAGCTGGTGTTCCGGTGAGGAATTGCTATCACGCAGGAGTCTATACACAAATCCACAGCACAATATGGAGAAACATGTTACCACAGTCCAGAGATAAGAGCTCTAGAACGTTGCGCCACTCAAATCTGCGACCTAAACAAAACAATTACATCATGGGTTCGATACTGGGGATCCGGTAGGTTTCAATCCAGCAATGAACACACACGCGTGTGCGTAAGAAACCCCTTCCTGCACCGTCTTTTCGACCAAAGCCAGACGCTAGACGCAATCAAACCTATCATACGTCATATGCTGTGGGTTGATTGTAACATACCGCGTAGATACTCCCTGTAATAGGTACTGAAGTGGAAGGATGCTATCGGGTTATGACCCTAGCTGAGAATCCTTCCGTCGGTGGGCCGTCGGAGTCCCAACCCCCCTTTCCTCCGGACCTATCTATCCCTACCCGCTTTGTAAGTAAACGGTAAGAAGTGGAGATGTTGCATTGGAGTGTCAGAAAGTACTATAGATCAACGAAGGATCCATCTCTCGTGGGCATTACTGGTCCCTGTCAGCAATTAGAGTGGTGATAACGGAGGGGGTTAACCCGGGCGCATGTGTCTAGACTCGTATGCTGTTCGACTTTGTGTCCGGCTGCATATGTGCATTTTGTGATGATAAAAACTATGACAGAACCAAAACCGCTGTTGTGTGCTCTCGATTTGTAATGGTTGGCGATATTGTCGTTTACTAAGGTTGGGAATGCTGTCTGGTTCCTGGAGGTGTTGGATATCTACTGTCTTCTCAAAAAAATTTTGCCTTCTGATGCGTTCTCTCTGTGCTCGATCTATACTATGTATGATAATGTGAATAGAGCAAAGGGCGTTCAAATCTTCGAATTGATCAAGAACACATACTTTGCTATTTATTGAAGGATTTTGAGTGCAAAGTGATTTCCTTCGCAGGCCTGAATTCGCAGATTGATCTTGTACCTACATGTGAGGATACGTGGGACCTCAGCGGAGAAAAACAGCCCAGAAAAGAAAGAGCAGAAAAAGTATCATAACGGTAGCCTTGCAATGAAATATGCCGTTAATAACAGGCAATTACGAGGAAGAAGCAACATCTGGTTCGTCATATCTAACTTTAATTGGCAATTCATTACAGTGCAAATGATACTTCAACTTGCGTGAACAGTTATTATATTGTCCTCCCAACAAGACAGGAAGGCAAGCTAGTATTCATTTATAACAAAGGAATGACACATAGATCCGGCCAGACCTTTCTCCCTAGCATCCTTCCTTCCTCCATTCCCAACTAAGACGACACAGCTTAGTGCTTCTCCTCGACATTGGCAATGTTGGATCTGGCGGAGTTGAATTGAGCCCGGAGCAAGTTGAGCTTCAAGGGCTCTTCTTCGTCGGCCTTGTCGGCGGTCTCAGCAGCGGCGGGCACCTCGGGCTTGAACAGGTTCTGGACTTCCTGCATGGCCTTCCAGGGCTGGGCTCTCTCCTGGGGCGCGGTAGAGGTGGATTGAGGCTGTAAAGCCAATTAGTTAGGTATGCTCTGTGTGATTGAAGATGTGCGAGGCTTATCTTACCATCTTGAAGGGTGTTTGTTTGAGAAGTGTGGTTTGAGTAAAGTCTGAAATTGTTCTTGTCTGAGGTTGATGATATCTGTGAATGTTGGGCGATGGCCAAAGGGGCTTATATAGCATTCGAGACGGATGTATCCCAGTTAGATCCGCGATTGACCATGTTATCCCCAACCATACGTACTCGCTGCTTGTGCATGAAGCCCGTGAAAGCACGCGAGTATGCATGAATCCTAATGCGGAGGCAGTGATCCATTCTACTCTGCTGATAAGCCATACAGTGTGTGATGAAGCTATCTACGGAGTTTGATCGTCTAGATCTCCCCTCCCCTCGGGTTTCAACCCCGTCCGAGCGCTTGCTTGGAGCCGTGCCCTGAATTATCATTACTTCCGGATGATTCATTCAATCGTCTATGCATGCTTCATTAAGCGTGTTTCAATTTCTCGTATTTTGAGCCGTATTTGGGATCCCATAGCCTTCTTCGCACGTTGATAGGCTTGCATAAATGCCTCACTTTATTGCAGACTTCAGAGCTGTTTATCCAGAAGGATCAAACTATCCAAATCCCTCGAAAATGCGCAGTACACTACTATCCTTGGTATCATGCATCCACGAGATGGCATCACTGCATAGCAACTAGGATAAGGGGAATTATCGATAACCATGCCCAAGAATCCTAGGAAGGTTAGTGTCGTTTCCGCACAATACCTCTTCAATCTCGCGAAACCTACATATGTTGATGCTTGATACCTACCAACTCCGGATAAGCACTTGGCACCCGCAAGGCAAGCACCCCAAGACATATGCCAAGCATCCTCGGCTGGACCAGCATCTCCGCACGCCAAGGTTGTGGCGCAACTGATCTGCATTGACCCTGACAACTTGTGTTACCCCAGTAGATGGATATGGAGGGTACAGAGAAGCTATTGTTACACATGAGTGAGAATCGATCGGCGTAAGCGTACAAATTTCATTTGATAGTGCTTCCAAGCAAAAGAAACCATTATCAGGTGTATGTACGAACTGCAATCTGTCCCAAAGGGCCTCGCGTCGCTAACCGGCTCTAGATAGCAAGATAAGAGTATCATCTATCTACGACGTGAATGATACGCTGGCTATTACTACGCTGATTGAAGTCTAGCGCAGGCTGTTATTACAGCCGGAGAGAAGTGCAATATGCATTGAAACCGGAACGAAGTAGACCAAGCTGCATTGGCTATCAGCATTGCGCAATGCATCGCCCCAATTCATACCGGTCAAACATTTCGAAGGATAGGATGCAATCCCAGTCTTCACTTTTGGCACGGCTCGCGCGTTTGTACATAGTGCTTCTAGACAAGATTACTAAAGTATGAGATGTAGTCTGTGCTTACATCTCCGAGGAGCATCCCACCTAGATACAATTCGGAAGATACGACTGATACGCCCAGTATCTACGAAGTAGATGGATGTGCTCCTAGTTTAGCAGGATATGCCAAGGTTACAGTGCATTAAGACGCAGCCACAGTAAAGCCACCCTCAAGGTCTCAAGAAATGAATGTCTCAATGCTCATGAAGAACACCTGCGTGGGTCATACCACCTAGATAGTGGTAGATAGGCTTTCGGCCCGCTGCGGTTTAGGGTGGGTCGTCTCATGTTGTAGAAAGTACGTATCTCCACTTCGGTCAGCTATGTGAGGAGATAAGCGCCTGCTTAGCCAGTTGCATGATTGACATGGGGAGCCTAGTTAAGCATGGCGCAAAACGCACTTGGAATGAGGCTATGGATACTACAGTGGATCTTCTCGCACTAGATGACAATTTCATCCGCCTCACTTGTTTGTCGTATTGCAGATAAGGGGTTTGATTTTCGAGACAACGGCATGGATGGTATCCTGTTTGAAGTGTGGATCATCTTAGTCTGGCCCCCGAGTACGTAGTATAGCCGGTGGGTCAGAGACTTGATTCGCAAGAAACTGCGGGGTAGGGGTCTGATTTGCCCTGAACTGAGTTCAGGATGCATTCCTTCATCTCGGTGATGTGTCGTCCTGTCTTGCCTTTTAATACGGAACCGTAAGGTCGTGCCCCGAATTCGAAAAGCAGTTGGCAATCGGGTGTTGCGGCAGACAGACTACCAAGAATCGCACCCGCTGTCTGTCGTTGGATACTGGACTTCAACCCCCAGAGAACACTCGAGCGGGAGCACTGCCATCGAAGCAAGATGCCCATCCCAGGAGGAATCAACGCACCCGCAACGGCCACTGCTACCCCCATCGACACAGATGAAGACACAGTTCAAGCAAAGATCCAATACCTCGCCAAAGACGAGCAGCACCAACACGTGAAACCATACTACCTGCACTTCCAGTACGACTCCGACATTGCCCCAACAAACACTGCCGCAGATGACCGTATAGTTCCCATTCATAATGCGAGAAATCTAGGCATTCCCTCGAAGGAGATGTTCTCGGAGTATGGGTTTACTCAATTGCAGCTTGATTGTCCTTTGGCCCCGGAGGAGTATTACTATGACAAAAGAGTGGAAGAAGTCTTATATCCCCAGTACAAATCGCTTGCACGGGACTTGTTTCCAGATGCTGCGCGGGTGGAAGTTCTAGAGCATGCTGTAAGTGAAGCAAGAGACGTGAAGCAATTCAGGTAGGCTGATGGACTGGAGAAAGACTCGCAAACGTCATCCTCTGTGGCTGTCTGAGGGTATAGAGCGGCATGAGCTTGATACCAATCAACCGAGTGATTATGTGCATATTGGTATGCCCTATTTTATTGTACATACAACCAAGTCTGATTGTTTTGGTCCCTTCAACATAGATATGACGGCCTCCTCGGCAGCAAAATGCAGCATTAAGCAATTCGACATCCATCCGAAGACTTATTCCAGGTTCATCGTTGTAAAGTAACATCTATCCCCGACCTTCCCATCAAATTCCCATCAAGAGCGAACCAAGCTTACATTTGAGTATTCACCAGCCTATGGAAACCAATCCGCGGCCCAGTATACGATTTCCCAATCACGGTCTGCGACCGCCGTACAGTAGACTACGCATCTCAGACCACGGCAATGGATATTGTGGCCCGGGACTACGTCAACGAGAACACTCGAATATACCATGACGAGAATCACAAATGGTATTACTGGCATGGCTTGCAGGCTAACGAGGTGATTGCCTTCGTGCAGGTAGATTCTCGGGCTGAGAACAGTGCAGGTATGATCTCTCCCTGTCATTATGCACCAATACGGAGTTGTTGCTGTATATGATATTGATACTGCATAAGTAGGAGTCCCTCATACGGCGTTTAAGGATCCTCGGAACAGTGACAGTACGCAGTTGCGGGAGAGTATTGAGGCGAGGGTATTTGTTTATTTCGATTAACTAATCTCGAGTATATCTGATGAGAATGGAGTATATACAACAATTATCATGGACAAACATATATCAATCAAATCTACTACTAATGTATTTACCGACCCTCCCTCCCAAACCGCTCCTTACTTCTGAACCAATCCCCATAGACCATCAAGGCCCCCAACGGCGGAATAAAAGCCGCCGCAATAAAAGCCAGCACCGTATTTCCCCATCCCTGCCCAATACTATCATACAGAGCCGGGCCGATCAAGGGCAAGAATGCTCCCGCGATAGCTCTGAAAATAACCCCAGCAGCGATAGCAGAAGCGCCATGGATCTCATACGTATCCACAACATAAGTCTCAGCCGGAATGGCAGAAAGTGTCATGCTGAAGCCAGCCAGGCACGCTCCGATAAGCGGCACGATAAACTGGACATGATAATTCAACGTCCATCCGTAGATGATGAATCCCACAGGGAGGATAACAGCAGCAAGAAGCAGATGTACTAGTCGCGACTCAGGCTTGAATGCGTCGCCTTTTGTTTCTTTTTGATGGATGACGTAGCGGTCGGAGGTGAAGCTGTAGAAGATCAAAGCAACGGTGTTGCCGATTGCCAGACTGAGGAATGTGAGCCCGATGGAGCCGCTGGTGAATGTGTGGGGATAGGTCGATTCCATGGATTCTGTGAGAGTGGCCATGATTAATGACACCAGAGCGTAGGTCGTAGACATATAGGTCGTCGTCATGATAAGGATAGGAGATCGGAAGAGGATCTGCATGGGTTTGATAGCGCTCTCAAGCATAGTAGATGCATCGATCCGGGCTTGATGCTTGGATTGATACTTCAAGTTGATGTTGTCGTCTGCGCCCGCATGCTCACTCTGTAACCGCTCCGCCTTCCTTCTTAGCAGAACAACCGTGTACGTTTCTCTCAGCACACAGAGTAAAAGCAAGCTAAAGAATCCCAGCACAATAGCCGCCAGCCAAATGGACCATCGCCAACCCAGGTCCTCGGCGATATACGCGCCCGCGATAGGCGAGATGAAATCTGCGATCATCTGAGTGCCCATGACTATTGCCATGGAGCGGCCAGTTTGTTCCATTTTGAACAAGTCGCCGACGATGGCGGGACCTAGGGTGAGAATTGACAAGAAGCATCCCGTTAGGAACCGGAAGGCGATCAGCATGGAGATGTTGGTGCTGAGCGCGCTAGCAACTAAGCAGAGCAGCGCGAGGAAATTCCCTATATGAAAGACTGGGAGCCGCCCGAATCTTTCGGATAGCGGCGCGATGAAGAATGGCCCGATTCCTTCGCCGAGCTCCCAGATCGTGACCAGGAGGGTCTGGTCGACTTTGCTGTGCGAGTGGAATTCATCGAGGATTTCGGGTGCCGTAGGTACGATTGTCATTGTCGAGAAGACACTGAAGAATCTGGTTAGTCCAATGAAGTAGTAGCAGACTCGCGAAAAACAAATAAATGTTTACCTGACAAAACCCATCCATGAAACAACAATCACAATTAGCCATTTGTGCACTGGCGACCAATTCAACGGGCTTTCGGGATCGTTCTCGTCAAAGTCCACGAGAATGACGTCCGGATCGCTATCTTCGCTGGCATCGGCATTTTCCAATGGCCGTTCATCGGCAATCTTTTCCTTCTCGTTGTCCACCGCAGTCAGGGAGTGCTCTTGGTGTGACGAATTGTGCGGCTCAAATGAAGATAGGACGGGGACCGGGCGGTTGATGGCCTCATCGATGAAAGACATCACTGCCAAGCGGGTGGCATGCGCAAATAGGTTCTAATCCACTACTGAGACAACAGGTAGGAAAAGGCGCATAGTGACATTTTAGGGCCGACATAGTACATCACGTGGAGAGATTAATGCGCAATCCATATCCGGGAACAAGA